CCCTGTGTCTGATGGTCACAGGCAGGGCCTGAGACTTCTAAGTGAATTTGGAATTGACTGTACTGTTAGCCAGCTTAATCCAGTCTGGCCATAGGGGAAAAATTCTTGCAGCTTTCAGCAATCCCAGTGTGACCATTGCCAAGCATCCAGCTGACAGCTTGCTGCATGGAGTCAGCAGCCACAGGGAAATAGCCAACAGTGAAGCCAAGTCATGGCGGTGTGGTGGCATTCCTACTCACAAATCTTCCCACTAGCTTATCGATTCCAGTGACTCTCTTTGCCAGTGGGCTGCACAGGACAGTCCCTGGAGCCAAATGATTCAAAGCCACAGCTACTCTTCCAAGCCAGGCCCAGATTGATAGATTTTACTTTAATCCATCCTTGGACAGAAAAACTGGGTCTGACAAATATGCGCACCTGCCGCATGAAGCTGTAACACTGCAGTGCTGTGGCCATTTATCCTAGAGCATAAGGAAGAAGTCTGCTCGCGGTCCTTTCAACATCTAAAATGACAGGCACAAGCATATACAGCAGGCTGCTTTCTCTGCCATCATTATTCTGTTTTGACTTGCTTCTTACAGCCTTCATTTCTGCAGTGTTTTTGCAGTGTTTTATTCTGTACGTTCAGGGAACTGTCCCTTCTTTCTGCAGCTGCTCTTCGCCTGAGCTGTGCAGAATTGAGAGGCATTTGGTAAAGTGCCTTCTAATCATAACGTCGTAGTATCGATATTTCTGGAGAGAAGAATTTGGAATTGAAGCAGCTGGTCTCAATTAGCAGAACTGCTGCTATGGAGATGATACACAGGCAAGCACGATGCAGAGCAAGCTGCAGTAAATGTATCATCCAAGCGCTTGCTGCTCTGTCAAAGGACAGGGCTGCTCAATGCACACGCGAGCCTTTTGCTTTGTCATGCCCTTGCTCGCTGAACACAGGCCTGGGGAGGAGTGTTCCATTCCCAGCTCCAGGTTGGGACTGTTTGGGAGCCTGGTGTTGGGGCAAAGCTACAAATGTAATTTCACAGATAAGAATGGAAGGGCTGGTTCTGTTCTCACTCCTGCTTTCACATAACAGGTAAAAGCCTCAGCTGGGTTTCTTCAGCCACACTGTGGTAAACCCCACTGATGTGGAGACCTGCCTCCCATGGTACTTCTAGGTTGCTCTAGCCCAAATTGGCAGAAAGATTTCAGAAAGGAGTGCGTTATAGGGAGCATCTTGAGATTGAAATAGGGCTCCTTAATTTCCCGGAATTACTTCTGGATCGCTGAGAATACAGCAGCTGAATGTGTCCGTAAAGCAGTAAGCTTTCCTGAACAGGCAGGTTCACCATTGGTGGTTGCATTTTCAATAGCAACACAAAAGTTTAGAGTTTATGACTTCAGAATATAAAGGTTAAAGCAAATCTTTCCTCTGTTGTGGCAAAAGCTTGTTTGGAAACGTTGAGGTGTCTCATGAGACATACTCAGAAGAGTCCTTTCCTCTTCACCACCTCACCAGTTCTCTTCCACTCCCTCCTTCCAAAGAATAAACAACAACAAAAAAGCTACTCTTCTGGTATTCCGTCAGATGAAATACTCTTTGGACAGAGTGGTAGTAGAAGCAATGGAAGCATAAAAGGTGAAGAGCGAGAAGGGGACAGCTGGCCTTGGACTAATTACTTGAACACGCAGGCATCCTGAGAAAGCCACAGATGCCCCAGGCGTGATGACTGGAGCCCAGAGCTCCGTATGTGTGCGTTGTGTGTATCTCCCTTTTGTTTGTTCTGACCAAGTCCTCCAGTGCTGGCCTTGAACAGAGGCAGGTATTTCCAGGGTGGGGGATGGGAAGAGACACAGTCCCTTCCACGTTTCTCTTGGGGACCTTGATTGGAACATGATTGGTGGGTTTGGGGGAGGTTGTTTGGTTGTTTTAGTGCTTGTGGTGCTAATGAGCTCTGCTTCCAAAAAATTCTGCAAAGGTGTAGTGTGTTTTCTTAAGTAGGGAGGATCATGCAGTGATCACTATCAGAGATCTGATCACTATCAGGAGATCACCAATTGCCTGAAATAATTGGGTGGAGGGATAGATAGCTAGATCGAGTGTCAGCCTCTTGGAACTGCCAAGATAACTTAAGAAAGCATACTTGTAAACAGGCACTGCTTTGCATGGTCTTTTTGTCATCTGTTGCTTCTTCCTGAGCTTCTATTTCAATAGCTACTAATTTCTTTACTACCTTGTCCTGCTTTGAGTCTTTCCTTCCTTCTCCGTTTTTTTTCAGTTCTTATTTTGCCTCTTTTCAACCTCTTTCATTCTTCTTTTCTCCCCGCTTTGTGATTTCTTCCTTTTTTTTTCTATCTTTTCCCCTTTTGCTAGAGAGTCACATAATAACTATCATCATTTTATTGCAAAAACTGCTGAAATGCAGCATGTCTAGTTGAGGTGCCTGTTCTTCACAGAAAAAGTTTAGAAATTGCCCACAATTCAGAAAGTATCTGAGAGAATAAGTAAACAATCAGAGCTCATGTTTTATGAGAGACTCGAGGGACTCAATCTACCTAGTTTATTAAAGAGAACGTTAAGACATAACTTAATCATGGTCTGTAAATACTGATATGGAGGATAGGCATTTGGTAATAGAGGATATTACAGTCTTGGGGGCAGAAAGCTTATTGGAAACTAATAGTTGTAAACTCTAGGTAGACAGATTAAATGTAGAAATACTAGGCCTATTTGACCACTGGATGAAGTTACTAATTGGAACAAGCCACAGAAAGCTCTGTTGAGTTTTTCCCCTGAATGACTATTAAAATCCATCTTAAACTGCTGTGTGTTTTTCTAAAACCTAGCTCTTAGTTCAGCTTCAGCTGCTGGACTTGCAGCAGGAAGTAGTTGAAGATGGTTTCCTCATCCGTGCTACACATTAGCTCTGACTAGATTAACACAACGGCCTCTCTGGCCTTAAAATTGATAGACCTGTGAATTTCTAATCATACACTTGAAATCTGTAAAAAGTCACTTATCTCTCTCTGGAGCATAAAGAGAGGCGCTTGTGCAAGGTGTCTGCAGAAGCAGAAATTTAGGCTCCCCCAAGTGAAGTTAAAGAAGGCAATACTTGAGAGCAGCATCTTTGCTTTGGAATATCTCATTTTCAGACTTTTCAAACAAAAGACTGTGATATTGGCTGACCTAGCTGTCCCCAGCTGCTGA